AAGGTCCTGGGTTCGAATCCCGGTGGGCGCGTACTGATGAAGAGTCCCAAACTAGGCTGACGAAACAACTGTCCAGTACTCCCAGGTGGGTTTTCCAGTGGTTCTCTAACTGATATCAGCTCATGATGAAATCCTCCATGCAATTAAACAAAATCCCTACCAAACCAATACTTGAAAAGAATATGTTGTAATATTCCTTCTAATACACCACACACTGCTGTTGTTGTTGATTTTGTTGCAGAAATCTCGTCTGTCTTCTGAATATGGCATGGAGATTTACTTTAAAGAGGAGTTTCTACAAGTCACTGGAAGGTAGGCGGTACACATTTATAACACACACTCACACACACACACACCATTTTTCTAAAAAATATCAATAAATATTTTTACTACTTTTACCAGTTTCAAAGAAAGAGGCGCTCGTAATGTTCTACTTCAGCTGACACCTGTGAGTAATTTTCTGATTCTGTTTTGTTTTGTTTTTCCAGAGTGTATCCATTTTTAAAAGTATTGGTTTTTTTCGACGTAGGGATTTTTGTTTGATGATTGGATGGGATGGAGGATTCCATTATTGATCGGGGGAAATTCAATCGAAGAGGCTAAAAAGTTACATAGATTGAGATGGTTATGTCACGTGCTGCGCATTCCTAGCCATCGCCTCCCCCTCCTGACGGGCATTACTAGCTGATATAAGTGCAGGTTGGAAAAGAGTAAGTGGTGCCATGCCAAACAAAAACATGGCCTCATCAATCAATCCATGAAATCCTTGACAGTTAAACTGAGTCAGGTAGGGAGGGAGATGCAGACTTCCGGGTTGGGGCCCACCCTCCGGACTCTAAGAATCAATCAATGGCTGGAGACAGACAATAGGTGACATGGCTCAAAATCGTTGTCAATGGCCTTTCCACCATTACTCATTCTGTTTCACTCTTCTACTTGTCAAAACTCTATTGATCCTCTTCTCTCATTTTCCTGTCTATCTTTGTGTGCTCTTTGGAACGTGGCAACTGGAACTGCTGCACTTCGGTGACAAGTTCTATGTTGAATCCAGCGGCAGCAGCATTATTGATCATGAACTGACTGACATCAGCGTTAGAGAACCACTGGACAGCTGTTTCGTCAGACTAGTTTGGGACCGGCTATTCAGCAGTACGAACCCATCCGCCACTGACAGGGTTTGAACCCAGCACCACGTTCTGGTGACAAGATTAGCGAGCTAGCTCGTAGACCATTGAGCCACTGGGACCCGACCCGATCCAATGACTAGCCAGTGAATGAATTCTAACTTCTACCAATTCGTGATGCATTTAGTGCGACTGGCACCAAGCAATGTCGTAGTTGGATATCTGGATGAACCACCTCACAATGGTCACGACTTCTCACTAGAACTGACTGACTCCAGGAAACTATATCCTGTCGCAAGTCACTCACTAGCGAGCATCAGATTAATTTTTTCTATAGTTTGGTTTGTAAGGGTTAGTTATCTGTTTTTACGAGTTGATCATGGATTGATGTCAGTTAGAGAATAATGGAAAACAACCTTCTGGGAGTACTGGACAGCTGCCTTGTGACCGGAAGGTCCTGGGTTCGAGCCCCGGTGTAGTGGTGGGTGCGTACTGCCGATGATGATTCCCAAACTAGGCAGACGAAACAGCTGGCTGTATGCCAGTATTCCCTGTGGCTAAATTTCAATCGTTCTCTAACTGACCGATATCAGTCCGTGATCAACTCGTAAAACTAAACAAAACAAAACTAATCCTTACAAACCAAAACTGTAGAAAATCATGGTTTTGAAATAGTTAGGATTAGAGAATGATTGAAGATATAATGAGGAAACAGGCATAAAATGGACTCACACCAAAAACAACTTGGAGGATCTGGACTTCGCTGATGATATATGTCTGATTTCCTACAAACTGGAAGATATGCAAGCGAAAAGCGGCAACAAGTTGGCAGAAGAAGCATCAAAGATAGGACTTCAATTGAACATAGAGAAAACAGAGGTGATGAAGATTCCTGGGCAACACCACCAACAGCAACAACAACAGACAACAATCAGCATGAATGGGAGGAACCTGAAAGAAACAACCTCTTTTACCTACACCTACCTGGGAAGCATCGTTTCAACTGCAGGCGGAACTGACGAGGATATCAAAGCAACGAGGATCGGGAATGCAAGACAGGCTTTCACTACTCTCAAGTCTGTGTGGAGGTCAACAAGACTCAGCATCAAAAATAAGATCCGGATTTTCAACTCCAATGTGAAGTCAGTAGGTACTACTTGCTATACGGATCAGAGACTTGGCGCGTCATAAAGACCATCTCAAACAAACTACAGACCTTCATCAACAGCTAGTTGTCTTCGCTCAATACCACTCAAGATCAGATGGTCGGCCGGCCAGAAAAGATCAGCAACAGTGTGGGATCTCTGGCAATGAGCGAACCAACCAGGAACCGATTGTGAAACAAATGTGCAGAAGGAAATGGAGGTGTATAGGATTTTGGCCATACTCTGATAAAACAAACCATCAAGTGACATCACTAGACAAGCCATTGCTCGAGTGGAAATCGAAATGGAAGCGGCGAGCTGGTCGTCCAAGGGTGACTTGGAGGAGGTCATGTGAAGAGGATATGAAAACGTGTGGGCAGACTTGGAGCCAGGTGAAGACTCTAGCAGAGAACCGAACTCAATGGAAACGCGTGGCTGAAGTCCTATGTTCCCCTAGGAATTAAAGGAAACAATAATAATAATAATTATATTATAATTACAACTTAGTATTACATACACATTTAGTAGATTTAATGTAGAAGTTTGACATTCGGTTGGTCGGTCGGTTTTCGACATAGAACTTAACACATATGTGCACCAGTTCAAGTCGCCACACTCCCCTGCATGTAGCACACAAAGCAAGAAAAGAAAGTAGGAGAAATGCATAATATAGTCAGTAAACACAGAGGTGTGAGACAAAGGTATATTAATAACGAAGGACAAAACAGTTTAATTGGAAATCATAAGTCACAAGGAGTGGATGCATCTGCACCAGCCAGCCATTGAGAACTATTTTGAGCCATGTCATCAATGGTTTCCAACCAATGGTTTTTACCGTCCCGAGGACCCCAACCAGTCAGGAAGCCAGTCTACACCTTCCTACGTGGCTGGCCGGCTGGCTTAAACTAACTGTTGTGGATTTCTTCATTGACTGGTGAAGCCATGTTTTGGTTGGACCGCTGCTAGCTAGCTCTTTTCCAGCCTGACCCTATATCAGCCATCTAACATTGCCTGTAAGATCAATTCAATTCCTATCCTTGAATCAAGTCAACCTGTCCCGGATCAGCCTAGCATTGTTGCAACACAATTATCCATGCCCAACGTGTCTATCCCACCTTGTTTAATTAACTGTGTATGTGTGTTTTTACTTCTATCCTTTTAGTCAGACAGTTGAACTCATGACCCAATCAGAGTATTTTGTGAACTGTTATTTTGCTGACCCATGTCTTATTTGTACTATTATGTTGAGTTTATCTTATTTATTGATTGGTTAAGTAGCCAATTAAATTCTGTCTTTGTGCCTATGCTTTGTTTATCTCTTACTTGGGTTCATTCTTCTACTGACTGCTCACCTGAACGGTCGTGTCTGATCCGGCTAGTTCGTAATTTTGGCTTTAACGTTATTCCGCTCTGATAGCGGTTCTTTGCTTTCTGTTAAGCATTGTGTATTGTACTCTTGAAACCGTTAAGGTTTGTTGTATTTATATTAATTGATTTGTTTATTAATAGTACCGTAGAAACAGTGACCGGCTTCTTGTTTGTTCTGGACCGGGATAGCCTATATCTACGCGTGACTTAATTTCAAGCGATATTGCGCTTACAGTACTTAACGTATAGAGTTAAAGTTTGCCGGATCAGCCCGTGACGGAAGAGACCGTACTGAACTGGTCAGTACTGAACGCCTTGACGGAATAGACCGTACTGAACTGGTCAGTACTCAGCGTCAAACAGAAAATCCCGTACTGAATTGGTCAGTACTGAACGTTCATCCAGAAGAAACTTTTGTGAATTGGCAGCACGCAACGTTGTTGAAAGTAAATTTTTCTTTGGAACAATGCAAACCAGATCAGGGAAGCATATTTCGGAGCAGCAGTCGGAGAGTCGGCAAGTCCCCGTTTGCATAAATGATCATGTTGATAACCTTTCGTGCCCCGGCTCTCATGTCAGTAGTTCGAAATCATCATTATCGCGAGTAACTAGTGCTAAGTCGTCACTACTAAGGGCGCAGCTAAAAGAGAAACAACTTCGACAGGAGTTAGAGTTAGAGAAAAAGTTGCTAAAGGCTAGACATGATGTCGAAATGGCCGAGCTGCATGTGAAGTTAGCGGCGGACGACGAACGGAACCTTGAGGAATATGAAAAGGGCAGTGTCATTGATAACCGGGAGCAGCTAGAACGATATATGAAAGATTGTGCCGAAATGGTTGGCGGGGACGCTCCTGTTACGATCGGGAAGAGCGCGGTCGTAGAGAAACTTGACATGCCTAAGGTTGAAATGTCCTATTTTGATGGCAACTGTACTGACTACTTGAGATTTACCAAGGAATTCGAATATTATGTCGAGAATAGAGTAAAGGACCCTGGTCAAAGAATGTTATATCTGTTGCACTATTGTAAGGGTCGAGCGAAAGCAGCCATACATGAATGCGTAATCTTGCGTCCTGAGAGTGCGTATGCGCGAGCTAAGGGTATCTTACAGGATCTGTTTGGAGAGATCCACGTCATCGCACGAAACCGTATTGAAGACATGATTAGAAGCCTACGACCTGTGGCAGAAGATGGAGAAGCTCTAACCCGTCTATCAATACAGCTTCAGAATTGCCTGATTGCCCTAACTGAAATGAACTATTTGTCGGACTTAAATTCCGTAACAACTCTCGAGAGAATAGTACGCATACTGCCGATAGCAGTTCGAAGGAATTGGGCCAGACTAGCAGACGCAAGGAATCAAGAAGGGCAAGAGCCATCTTTTCAGGATCTTTGCCAGTTCGTTTCTACAGAGGCAAGAGTGGCACGAAGCCGATATGGACACCTCGTTTCAGAGGGCCTTAACCGCCCGAACGCCCAAGTTTCACTAAATAGACAGGTTCATCATGGGGGCACATCATTCGCAATACAGGTAGAAAGGACCCCTGCACCCAAGCTACTGTGTATCCTCTGTAGGTCAGACCATGCTACTGCTTCATGTCAGAAGTTCGTTGGATTGGATGTGCGAGACAGATGGAGCTGCGTCCACCGCCATAGAGCATGCTTTTTGTGCTTAGAGGTCGGACATCGTATCGATCACTGCGTATCGGGTATAAAGTGTTCCAAAGCCCATTGCAGTGGTAAACATCACCCACTGCTACATGTTGAACCGATCGTAAATCAAGTGGCAGAACAGGCGACATGCGCTGCTACTATACATTATGGAACGGCAGTTATGCTAGGTGTGATCCCCGTCAAGGTGCGGGCCCACGGTAAGGAAATAGAAACTTATGCCTTTCTGGATAACGGCTCCGACGTTTCCTTGGTTACGAAGGATCTATTAAGCAGCTTAGGCCTAGAGGGCACGCCATCGTCTATGACCTTAACAACAATCAATGGTGCGAGTCAGGTTCAGGGCAACATGTGCGAACTGGAAGTCGCATCAATGGATGAAAATGCAATGATAAAACTTGACAGAGTGTTCGCGTTGCCATCCTTGCCAGTCAGTGCACCCTCACTATCGATATCACAAGAGGCCCGTCGCTGGCCACATCTCCAGGAATTACCATTCCGCGAACTTGATGATAAAAGGGTCACAATGCTCATAGGCTGCGATGTTCCCGAAGCGCATTGGGTCCTCGATCAGCGTTTGGGTAGTCGCAAACAACCTTACGCAATCAAGACATTGCTCGGTTGGGTCTTGCTAGGGCCACTTCATGGAAATACGAAAAGAGGCACTGTCAACTACGCTCGAATCAGCGAAGAGAGTATCAAAGATGACATCAAAAGGCTAGATGAAGCTGAGTTTAGGGATACTGAAGAAAACGAACACTCATTTTCTATCGAAGATCGTAAGGCAGTCGAGCTGGTTACTCAAAGCACCGTCTTAGAAAAGGAGCAGTACATCATTCCCCTGCCATGGAAAGATCCAGCAAAGGTAACGGAAAATAATTATATAGTCGCCATAAATCGGTTATTCAGTCTGAAATGGAGGTTATCGCGTGACAAGAACCTTTTAGCACGATATGTGGATGGGATAAATACGATGTTAAAAAATGGTTATGCCCTTCCGGTACCCCTAGAGCAGCTAGCAGCCAACTATCGACCGAGGTGGTATCTTCCACATCATCCCGTAAAGAAACCGAAAAAGCCAGATAAACTGAGAATAGTTCTAGATTGCACCGCAACCTTTGGAGGCTATTCTTTGAACGATAAGCTATATGAAGGACCTGATACGATTACCGAGCTTGTTGGTGTTCTGTTGCGCTTTCGAGAAAAGCCTATTGCTGTAGTCGCGGACATAGCTGATATATTTATGCAAGTGAAAGTGCCACTAGACGATCGACGAGCATTACTATTTCTGTGGTGGAAAAATGGTTTTCTAGACGAAGAGCCGCAGGAGTTTCAGATGACAGCGCATCCGTTTGAGGCAAATTCATCACACTTCTGCGCGAACTACGCGTTGAGAAAGGCAGTAGAGAACTTTGGTTGCTTATATCCGGAAACAGTGAGAGAGCCGGGCACGAGGGTTATTCGGTGTAACATGATTCAGAAAATCCTAGTCGGATTTTGGGGGCCGGTGTAAGATCAATTCAATTCCTATCCTTGAATCAAGTCAACCTGTCCCGGATCAGCCTAGCATTGTTGCAACACAATTATCCATGCCCAACGTGTCTATCCCACCTTGTTTAATTAACTGTGTATGTGTGTTTTTACTTCTATCCTTTTAGTCAGACAGTTGAACTCATGACCCAATCAGAGTATTTTGTGAACTGTTATTTTGCTGACCCATGTCTTATTTGTACTATTATGTTGAGTTTATCTTATTTATTGATTGGTTAAGTAGCCAATTAAATTCTGTCTTTGTGCCTATGCTTTGTTTATCTCTTACTTGGGTTCATTCTTCTACTGACTGCTCACCTGAACGGTCGTGTCTGATCCGGCTAGTTCGTAATTTTGGCTTTAACGTTATTCCGCTCTGATAGCGGTTCTTTGCTTTCTGTTAAGCATTGTGTATTGTACTCTTGAAACCGTTAAGGTTTGTTGTATTTATATTAATTGATTTGTTTATTAATAGTACCGTAGAAACAGTGACCGGCTTCTTGTTTGTTCTGGACCGGGATAGCCTATATCTACGCGTGACTTAATTTCAAGCGATATTGCGCTTACATTGCCCGTCGGTCGAGGAAGGCGATGACTAGTCATGCATACGTAACACATGTCCTAACCATCGGCCGGGAGAAATTTGACATTTCATTTCATACATGTTTGTCTCTGACCTGAGAAGAGAACTTATGTCTTTAGAAGGGAAGAAGACTGTAGTCTAACTGATATTCACACAGATCTGTCTGTCACACAGTCAGCAAGTCAGTCAGTCAGTCATCATCACCATTAAGAGCAGATTTAAGCCAACTTACTCCAACACACTCCACATGAAATGTTGAAGATATCAGCAAAAGCATTTACTATCTCTTCAAAATAACCGATTAATCCTGGAAATTTTATCACCTCACAACTTACTTTCCCCTGAATTATTTGAATAATGGCAAAAACCAACATATGGAGAGATCAAATAGAGAATGGGAAGCAAAGTGAATTAATTATTCGCGGAGGGGAGGGGGGCATTTTATTCGACCTTAGTGTTGTTATTTCTTTTTTTGCCATTTCATCTTTTTCAAGTATTGTAGTTTGGTAGGAATTTTTGTTTGATCGGATGGGATGGGATGGGATGGAGGATTTCATTATTGATCATGAGCTGACTGACATCAGCGTTAGAGAACCAACCACACTGGAAGGAAAACCAACCAGTGAGGGAGTACTGCCAGACAGCCAGCCAACTGTTTCGTCAGTCTAGCATGGGACTGAATCTCCAGCAGCAGCTCGCCTTGTAACCAGAACGTGGTCCTGGGTTCGAACCCTGGAAGTGGGGTGGCTGTGTACTTTCTACTTCATTCACCAGGCATATTGAAGGGGGTGATTTCTTATAGGCAGATTGAATCAGTCAGTGAATAGCATTCGGTTAACAGTATTATTTTTGTTTCCTTCATTTTAAAAAGTGTACTCACAAACTCTAATGTGCCTGTGAAATATGTATTGATTTTTATGTGTGTGTATATACAAGGATGAGGCTAAACGTGGTGTCATTGCATGCAGTGCTGGAAATCATGCCCTCGGTTTGGCATACCATGGAAAGTTGTTGAATATCCCGGTGACTGTGATTATGCCTGAGAATGCCAGTGTCATGAAACGTGAACGATGCGCAAGTTTCGGTGGTCGTGTTCTCCTCAAAGGCAAGAATATGTTTGAAGTAAGTTTCCGAAGAAGCACCGCAAAACGTTTTTAATAATTTTATCATTTTACAATAGTGTTACTATCTTGGTTGGTTAGTGATCAGCCTACGTGCTTTTATACCTACTGACTTGCTTATTCATCAGTAGAACAATTCTGTGTTCTTTTGTATTTCACCGTTTCACACTTCGATGACTAGGTAGGAAATATTTTTCTCCATTATGGTTAAGATTTTCTATTTTGATAAACTGTCACTCACAGTGTGTGTAGTGTTATACAGTAAGTAATATTAACTGATGCGATCACACACGCTTCGAGCACAATTTATTATTGCCACTCATAATCATCATATCAAGTCACTCACTCACTCACTTACTCACACAACTTTCGTCTTCCTTCATTTATATACATGAGTGGAATTCATGATTAGACATTTGAATACAAATCAGTAATATGGGATAATGTACATTCAGAAATAATAATAATAATATGAGTGTTATTGATCAATTACAATCAGATGGGAAGGGAAATAAGACGAGTGTTTTGTTAATAGTCATAATAAGTGAGTAACTTGTTAGAATGTTGTGATGTACGTGAATTGAGTTGAAATAGAATACCATTTGAGATTATTTATCATCCTCCTCTGATTTGACTGACTAACTGACTGACTGGTGGTAATAATATCTTCCTTGCATATTTCTGGTATTTGCATTGAGTCATTTCTGTTGCATGTGTTGTTCTGGGTGTAGACTGGATGAACCAGTCAGGATTCAGTAATCAACCTCTATCGCTCTCCGCCTACCTAGATCACTTCTTAGAATCTTAACCCCCTCTCAACATGCTATTGTGTGGTTGTGTGTTATTGCATGCATTCAGTGCAATGTAGTGCTGAGCTTTTTTGCAAATTACTCATCTTTTCGTGTTGGGTCAACCATTCTTACCTTAGCCACTGAATTCTTATGTTCTGACAATCTGATTACCCCCGAACTACTAGTTTCACCAATGTAGTCGACATAACTCACAGTCATTGCAGGGTATTTTGTAAATTACATTATTTTGTTTGGATAGTGTTGTGATTAAAAGACGGAGATTATCTGAAAAATCAGATGTGATGTGATGTATTTGCGCTGTACATTTCGAACAACAATCTGATCCCTCACACATTTACTTGTCAAGTCGATATATACATGAAAATGTTAAATTAAACAAAGTGACAAAAAAAGGATTTAAGAATGATTAACACAACGTTTGTTAATCCAATCAAATAAGGATTACCAAATTAGGTTAAGAGTAATAATAAACTGTTTCTGAATATAACTGTTAACCTACCTTAGTAATCCTTATTTGACTGTATCAACAAGCGTTGTGTTAATCATTCTTAAATCTTTTTTTTGTCACTTTGTTTAATTTAACATTTTCATGTATATATCGACTTGACAAGTAAATGTGTGGCGGATCAGATTGTTGTTCGAAATGTATAGCGCAAATACATCACATCACATTGTTTTTCAGATAATCTCCGTCTTCTAATCACAACGCTATCCAAATTCATAAAAGGGACTAATTGTTCATAATTTTTTTGTTTATTTATGTCACCCAACAGGGTTCTTTAACCTGCAGAGCTTGTCCTACCTGAGTGAGTTTGTAGGTTTGAATGCCACCACCAGCCCAATTCCTGCTTTACTGAGAATCCTACGTAGGTTCTCAGACAAACAGATAAACGATAGGAAAGGTATATATAGACCTAAAGTAGGAATAAGGATTATAACAGTTATGCATAGATTGAATAGTGTGGTGAGAGCTCTCTGCGCTAGCCGATTTGGTAGACAGTAATTTACGTCAATGTTGTCGATGTCCCAAATATTGGTCATGAGAATACAAGAACAAGAACAAAGACTGACTGACTCTACAACAACCAATCACAGCACATTTTGTTTGCGTAGGCAGATACAATTAGCAAATAGATAGATGGTCTGACCTTCAAGAAACAGGCACAAGGAGAAAAAACCAATCAGAAGACTGTGTTTGTCTGCTAACAATAATCGATATCAATGTATGTTCATGGAAATCGATATATATATATATGCTGATTTCCTTAATAAGCGATCTCTTTCCTGGCCCTTGTCTGCTGTTGTTACAGTCTTACTATTATCATCCAATTAAGCGTAATTCATCTGGGTCGACAGTCGGTGTATGATGACTTGAAAATAAAGAAGATATTTATCATACATAGTGTGATATGCCATCTTTTTACCGGTGAAAATAAAACAAAATACAACCTATATTTGCCTTATTTTATTAATTGAAAACGTGATCATGACTCTTCTACAATCTTCTTCAAGTAATTAACTGTTCTTCTTTGCCTCTGATTTGTGTATTTTTGGTAATCCGTAAAATCTGCAGCTGCTACTGATGAGGAGGAGAACCGATGAAATCAAAAATGGATCCAGATTATTCTGCGCCCGCCAATGTTCCTTTTTCTTTCTTTCCTTCTTTGTTCAAATTTATACAAAAAAAGGAATCTCATTGTATGAAATTTGCACTTTTATTCAAGATTATAATAATCTTGAATGCTTGCCTAACTTCTAAAATGCTAAAATATATTTGCAAACCCCTAATTAATATTTGCCACACTGTGGAATTGAAATTGAAATCCTACACAGGTTGATCATGTGATCATGTGTGTGAGATTCGATCTCTCGCTGGACTGAAGTCATTGATCACCACGTGTGGTGTAGTTAACGTGAGATTCATACCAAGTATTGTCAGATTTATGCTATTTGTGTGTGTGTGATCGTGTACATGAGGTTTGTCAAGTTCAGATAATTGATCAGGTAATCAAGTAGGTAATACAAGAATGATCTAATATAGAAACAAGGTTCGTTAATTAGACAGCAACTAAAGTAGGATTGAGTTAGTTAGTTGGTAAGTTAGATGACGACGTAATAGAACTGACTAAAATGTTTCAACTTAAGTCAGGGTAGCAACAGAGGTAATTACAGGTAGAGAGTGACTAAGTAGTAGTGGGCGGGGGAGAATAATGCCATTTAAGTAAGAACTGAAATTGAGCAAATAAGTTGGATGACGTAACATAAATGACTAGAAATTGAGCGTTGGTCGAGTCAGTAATAGTGGTAATGAGGTGCAGAAATTAAATCGGGTGGGGGTAGAGAACATAATTATTATTCCCTTGAGTTCCTAGTGGAACATAAGGCTTCAAGGAACTACACGTCTCCACTTGCTTCTGTCTTCTGCTGTACTTTACACCTGCATTCATGTTAATCCATACTGTTTCAACTCCTCTTCACACGATTTCCTCCATGTCATCCTTGGACGTCCCACTCGCCGCCTCTCTTTCAGGTTCCACTCGAGCGATGGCCTGACGCGTATGTCGCCCAGCGGCAACCTTAGCGAGTGTCCAATCCATCTACACTTTCTCCTGCATATTTGTTGGGCGATTGGTTCTTGTTTCTGTTATTTGTTTGTTCCCATAGTTTCTTGCTGGTGATTCTTTCTAGCCATCTGATCTACAGCATAGAGCGAAGACAGTTGTTATTGATAAAGGTCTGCAACAGGCTGTTGGAAATATTCTTTGTGATCCGTCAAGTTT